ACTCGGTTCCTTCAGACTATTCTGGAGTAGAGATCCTGCCAGGTGACCGGCTGACAAACTTGGAGTATGCGAACGACATAGCGCTCCTTGGGTCTGATGCATTGGCTATGCACACACTACTGTAAAGACTTGTAGCGCTACACGGTTCGGCATATGCTTTGCACTTTCAAGGTGCGCAGTACTGCCAAAGGATTGGACCGACACCCCCGGTTTTAGCTATTTCCGAACAGTCACTGGGAGTGATGGGTCGGTTCACATACCTTGGTAGCTATGTCACCTCTGGTGCTCACATTACTGAAGCAATTACTTCGCGTATGAGTATGGTCCGAGTGGCTTTCTAGTGGCTCAGCCATTTATGGAGACGGCGGATATCAGCTTGTCAGTGAAAGGTAGGGTGTGACGCTGCGATAAGACCGGTGTTATTGTATGGATCAGAGACCCGGCCAATTTACGGCGAAGCCCTTAAACGCTGGATCGTGTTTGACCATTTTTGCTTGCGGAGTATTGCTCACGTCTGGTGGGAACACCAAGTGAGCAATGCTGAGGTACGCCAGTAGATTTTTGGCAAAAAGCTTTTTGGTGCCTCACTCTAGTGTTTGCTGAGTGTTAACCGCTTACGTTGGCCAGGTCATGTCCTCCGTATACCCGTTGACCGGCTTCCTCGGGGTGCATTATACGCCGTGGCTACACCAAGTTGGGCGAAACCGCAAGGTGGTTAATCCTTGACATGTCATAGAAGCATGAGGAGATTGACATGAGAGACTTGGTCAGGCTGGTGCGTGCCGTTTTCGGGATGGTCCACACCAATGGTTGGAGACCGTGCCAGACACGACGCAGTTGCGCAGGCAGTGGCGTTCTTGAAATCGGTTTCTTGCATCTGGTTGTTAGTTTTCGCACCATTCTGACTTTCTTTTCGCTCCTATTTCTTTAACCTTCTATTTGCCCTTAACCCCACTACTTTATCATTATTATTTATTGCTATTCTTGCGATGTGAGTCGTGGCAGCTGGATCCATCGCACTTCACTGGTCGTAACAGTTGTTCAACCTAACTGAACTGAACTATGTACCTGACGACTGGTAGATTGCACCGTGATTCCATTGCATCCCGTTTCTAACTTTATGTTCATAAATGACTATGTTCTCTCATCCTCTTCTGGAGTGGACTGATTAACGCACCTGAAGTACACGGACCGTATCCCTCGTAGGATCGGTAGCATATCCAACACAATCGTTTCTGAACAGCTTAATACTGCGCTGCACGGTTTTGTATGTGCTTCACACCTTCGAAGCTCAAAGTAGTATTGCGAGACTGCAATTTTCAGCTTTCACCAAACATCCACTGAATTTAATCGATCGTTTCACCTATCTTGGTTGCATCACTTATGATGGTCACACCACTAATGAGATTAATGCACGTATACTCAAAATCCGTTTGGATTTCTAAACTCTAAACCACCTCTAGAGATGGTGAGATGTCAAACTACCACTACAAGGTAGGGTGCACAACTTTCATGTAAAGACGGTGTTCCGTCGACCGCTGATCTTGTAACCCACGAATCACTGGTTCGAATCTGTTTAGGTGCAGCAACTGATGATGACCACGCGGCAGAGTGGCGTTTTGTGCAATGCATCGGTCTACTGATGCCTTTTCTAAGGCTGGTGTTACTGTGTGCATCAGAAACATGGCCACTTCGTGTTGTAGACATTAAGAGATTGTTTCTCTGGCCACCGGTGTCTGTGTAGTATCAGTCATTTCTGGCGGAAGCACTGAATGGGCCATACTGGGCCAAGCAGTTTGTTTGAGAAGAAACCATTTGGTTCCCCAATTGGTGTCTACCTATTTGAACTTCTTTCATTGGCTACTCCGTCCACCCCGGATTCCCCTTTGTTTGCCTTCCTCGGGGTGCGGTTGCTTACCTAGTTGGCGAAATCGCGAGGTGGCTACTGCATGACGCGGCATAGAAGCAGGAGGAAACTGATCGAGGAAGTTGGTCTCCGCGGTGGCCTCGGGATGTGACACATCAGTGGTTGGAAAACATCCGTCCCGGCACAGTCACATAGTCCGCTGCGCTTCTACATTTGGTTTCTTGTATCTGGATGTTAAGGTTCCAACCCAACTAATTTTCTCTGCTTTATTCCTACTCCTTTGTTTTGTAGTATACTTGAATTCTGCGTCATTTATCCCACCAACGTTGTTTCTCATTGTCGTGGCGACGCAAATCACGACAGCTGGATACACTGTGCTTGGATGTTCTAATCACGGTTACTTTACTAAACTAAACTATACGGTCTATATGCCTTCTTTTGGCTGTCAACCATGTCCCCTTGAATGCCACCTGTTTTTTGTATGTACACCGAAACATCACTTCATTTTCTAAACACCGCTGCATCCCCATGAGCCTGTGAGGTTATGTTGGTAGATCTCTCTGAGTCCAGCGTGCCCATTGAGGTTCGTTGGAGCTGTCTGTTCTATTCTTACTGTGGCGATCCATTCCAGGGTAACTGCGTGCACTATCGCTCGACTTTCGGCTCGTGGTTGATCAACAATACCTTCGTACTAGTCCTAAGGCTTCATCGTCTGCCCCTCAGAGGACTCATCTGTTTGCATCTAGTTGAAACTCTCACTACGCACTATGGTAGCACAACGCCAGTGGCTAGCGGAACCGGCAAAGAACCATTCAACAAGTGACAACTCAAGTGTTGCCTACACGAACTAACCAAAATTAAACGCACAGAGTGGACGGTGCCGAATTAGCGCGCCTTAGTATGAACAAATTCAATATGATCTCCATTAGGGCATGTGTGCATTGAACTGGGCGCGGCAATTGCATTGCGTACCGGCCAGTGAACTCAGCCGGGCAGTATAGGGCAGAAAGCAAGATTTGGCCACTGAAAAGCTGTTACGATGGGAGAGTAGCAAAGTTTATGCATGATGTAGTTGCTCTACTGTGTATGGATTTCTTATAGCTGCCTAAACTTTCTTTATGTTTATCGGAGTTCCACAAGCCAGTACGTTAACATAATCCTGGTTCATGTGGGCAGCAGCTGCCACCAAATCTCTGAAAAGCCACGTATAGTTTAGTGAATACTGGGTGTTGCCCGCCCGGAAACACTGGGCTCCACGTTGCGTTTAGACCTTATTTGATTTCATCATCTAGTAATAGGAGGCCTCAAACCTAGGACCGTTGCAATGTTTGTTGGCAACTCTACTCCTTTTGCCACGGAGTCAACGAGCAACGCTTTTCCCAACGGTTAATGACTGATTAGAGGGTCCTTTTGAAGTATCCGTTATTTGAATAGTTTGCGACGCACAATCTCAATGTAGATTACGACTCACATTGAAGTGAACCTCGTTCAATTCGATTACTAGGACCGCAGCTGATGAGGTTGTTAAATATTGTGTTTTTCTCACTCTAAAACACAGCACTTTAAGGTATAGTTTTTGCTCTTTTCCAAAATCCGTCGGCAACACCTGTTTCACTAGCGTGACGAAAAAGCAAATGTTGGACCCCCAAATCATGGCATTTTCTGGTTACCGAAACTATCTAGTAATTATTTTTCGCACGAACTCCTAACCTCAGCCATCTTATGCTATTGCTTAACTGAAGACAACGCTTCTGCCGTTACTCCAAATTTTATGGATGGCTTCTTCTAATGCGACCTAAGTACGTAAAGCGTCACTGTTATAACGCGTCCTAGTTGTTTCGATTTTTTGTCTATATGGATGAGTGTCCTTCAACGACAATACCCCACGCACGCAGACTAGCCAATCGATTTCGAAACGTTGCGGGATAGCGTGGCCTAGCGGTTAGACGTACACGCGAGCTGAGACTGGAGATGAACAACACGTAACTTAACACGACTGCACTGTGATCCAAATTAGAACAAAACTGGCCGTTAACAAGAGTTTTTTTATTGACTCAGCCAAGGCGAGGTATGCTTTCTGCATTCTCATATTTATAACTCAATATACTAGCATTGTTGTGCGTAAACTATAGAGGAATGTGGATGTTGGCAAGGCACATGACTTGTCACTCAGTGATAGTGTCCTGGGAGAAACTCGGTTAGTGTCATTGTGGCTTTATGCAGTAACTACCTCAGCAACTGAGGAGCTCAAGTGGTTCACTGCGGCTTGACACGATTTATACATTAGTGTCACGAGGAGAGTTGAATACAGTTTATGCAATAGATGCATCAATGCCCTGAGTAGAGCTAAGTTGGTTCACTGTGGTTTGGCATCAATACCCTAACGACTGCTCTGTTCTGTTGCTCATTCGTCCGCTGAGCTTGGAAATTTATTGGCAAACGTTTCACCGTTGCGCTGAGATGCAGAGTGTAATTTCGCTGATTACACTCTGCATCTCATAGTGGTGAAACTTTTGCAAACAAATCTCCAAGCTCAGCGAACGAATGAGCAGCTGAACCATTAACCCGAGCTACCAATGTTCCGAAACATGTTACGCTGCTCGGTTGTTACTAGCGCAGTCTAATTCGCCGCATGGTGAGCTCGCCAAAAACTGTGCAAGTTTCGCGGAGCTAGGGGAACTCCGCAACACCCACCTTCGAAATCATAGAGCTTTGTCTGTCTGTCTTCACCCTTTCATTCCGTAGGTAGATTGGCACCGTGGGCTCTAAAAACATTGCAAGCTTATCAATTGTTTTAATGCACGACGACACTGTTTGTCCTCTATATGCGCGCGAAAACCACTATTCCACCATCTGATACGATGTCGTTCCTACGTACTAATTATTGAGAACTGGAGCAGCGAGCAGACTTATCACTAGACGGCCGCTGGCCAACGCAATGGAGCGCTTTTTACTCACAACGCCGATTGAAACGGCAACATTTGTATCGTGCTTATGGAATTCCGTAATCGGTGCACTTGACATATGTTTCACCACCTTCTACCTCTTCCGAAACATTGGGAGGGGGGCTGAACCAAACCTTTGTTGCAGTCAGACAGTCGTCACTAGCTTGCCTACTTCATCTCATCTTCAGATTTCATACAAATCGATAGATGCCATTCGATTCGTCGATTCTGTTTCCGAAAGACGGTATCCCATCTCGGGACAAACTGGGTTCACTCTCCTTCTGTACACCAAGTCTTTCTACATATACGAACTGACGGTGTGTACCCTGGATGAAGCACGCGCGTTACAACAGTCGATTGAATCTTTAATCTCTAATTGTAAGTTTAATGTTATGCTTTTCTGTCATCTTTGTTCTCGACTTATTTGATAGTTCTTCAGCACGTTGATGTCGCCTTAAACATTTGTACACTCAGATTTTGCTTCTGCTGAGGTACTTTTGTTAGTTGCATGTGTAGGACCGCCTGGGCCGTAACAACGCCTATATTTTGACAATTGCGTGTCACTTCAATCCACGTACGCAATATCATTTCCCTTTCCGCTTACATGCCTTCTTTTTCCCCGTTTTTTGTTTACCTTTCTAGTTCTACCTCACATGATTATCACACTGCGTTGGCACGTGTTTGGTCATCGTTGAATGATCCCAATAAACACATGAGTTTTCGTCCACTCTTTATTCGCTGTCGCTACATTTGGTATCCTTATGTATGTCATTTTCTGATTTTTAAACTTTTCACTGATACCATTTTCACTTTCTTTCCTTTCTCTTTACGGAACACCTTTAATCACAAGCCATTGCTTTTGGGTCTCACCCTTCGCCTCCGGATGTGCCAACGCCCCTAACTCCCTAGTTCGTTAGTATCCAACATGCTGATCTCTCTACAAACGGGAGTATTGGGCCTCTGGTATGGGTTATAACCATCTGAAAGACATATGAACTGATTATTCGGTCACCGGATCTCAACAGATGCCTGTGACTCACCTCGCCCTGCTACCTTGTGGGCTATCCTCTTGGCCAAAGTGCGGGGTGGTAGCTCCCTAAGACAACCCGCCACTTCTTCCTAAGCAACCGCGTAGTATCTCGCATACTGATGAACCATGAAACTGAACTGAAATGCTCTCCTTCGCTCTACTGTTACTTCACTTTCCCGCTACTACTACGATCGCTTTTCAATCACACGGCAACCATTTATCTACTCCCCCTGTACCATCCATCTTCCTTATTGTCCTATCATTCAACGTTGAACAGCATCGCCTTCTCCGATAAAACTGTCACCTTACCATTCTCTGTATCAATTACTAAAAACCCAACCGGGATTAGCCACTTTTAAACTCTCTCATCTCCGCCTGTGCGACCGAAAACGGTTCAAATTGGCGGTGTTCAATGTTTGGACCATATAGCAAATTGAACAACGCGTCGGTCTTGCACACCCCCTAATAACTCATGTGATAGATGTCTATTGCTTGTCTGAGACACTACTTCCGGATTCCAGCACAGTCTACCAATAGTAGTCACCAATTCACCCCTACACCCCTTTCCTTCTTCGCCTTTCTAGATACGCCGAGTCTACCGCAGCCGGGTAAGCTGATGTTGGGGTCGCTCTTTGTAACAGAGCCGCAGCCGCCCTTCTTGACTGAATTCCAATCAATCTTTGTTGCGCTATGCGGCTCCATGGCCCGTACAAAGTTAACTGCCGTAGAGAAACACGTCTGCCCTTTTTGTATTATTCGCCTGTGCTCCTGCTGATTGTGTTCCGGACACACTCAAGGACCAATTCCATCATATTCCCCATTATCTGCTGCAAAGTAATCCTAAAACCGATGTCATTATTGTTGTTGGGGAGCTCAACTCGCTTGTTGGTCGCTTACTACCAGGCGAACGCCATTTCAGAGATCATCATTGATATGATGACGTTTGCTGGGATAGTGGCGGAAGACTGCTCATTTTGCGTGCTGACCACCAACTTTACCTTTCTATCACTAATTTACGCCATCCTAAGCACCACTAAGCTACTTGGCACACTCCATCTTCCTCCCAGCGTCTTTCGCAGATTGACCAGACCGCTGCACAGTCACATTGGCGTGGTAGTATTCATGCTTTCAGATCCTACTGATCAACTTGTGTCGAATCTAGTCATACGCTTGTATTTGCATCGATTTGTTTGCGTTTCGCTGGCACGCCTAAGGTTAAACATACTCATATGAATAGTAGTAGGTTGGATGACCCCGCCGTGCGGTTGAATTCTCAACTTAACCTTCGTAGGAATCTCACTTTTTCCCTCTTCGAGACGTTAACCAACATTGTTTGCGCTTTAAACAGGTGGTTCTCTGCGGGAGTATCCAGCTGCGTTCTTGTTCGCTATATGCCTAAAAGGTGAATATCGGCAACATTCTCAGGTCTGCTTGACCGTCAGCGAGTTGTACCCGTCTGTACGAAACACGATGAACTTTGCCGATCGCTTTCTCAACGATTGCAAACAAGTTTTCGCTGTGACCGTGAGTCCTGGTGGTCTACATCAGCCACGCAAATGGAAGTCGCTGTCTCTGTTGGGAGCGACTGCTGATTATTTCATCTTATCAAATCCACCGGATGTATATCACGTACCGTCTATGGAACAATTTGCGGGTTAGATGGTACGAGAGTAACCATCTACACAAATGTCTGGATCGCTGCGTAGAGCTTTTTGCTCATCAATTTTATTATCTCAAACAACCCCAGTGACATCTCCATTGCCATTATGTGATGTCTGGCCTGTCTACACAGATCATCCCACTGAAAAGATATTTATACAGAAACCCAGACTCTGAAACGCCGCAAATCTCCTGGTTTTGGTAATCCTTCTCTGACCTTAATCAAAAATGGAGCATGGTCATTAACAAAATCCTCATTGTTCACAAATCTGTGATGAGCTTACCACCTCATGTGACGCATCTGTTGTACCGATTTACAAAAAGGCTACCCTAACGAATGCATCAACTACCGAGGAATCACCTAGCTCTCTCGTCAAAAATTTCTGTGCCCATTCTGTTTCTTAAGCTTCCAGTTATCCGGGAGAGCTTTTTCTCGGGGAACAGGCTGGCTTTCCTACAGGCCGAGCTTTCATCGACCAGATCTTCACGCTGCGACAAATTCACCAACCTCGTCACATGCATAAAGACCAACAATTGTGGTTTTGTACTTTTTACAGATCAGCTCTATGGAACTGTCTGCTGAGGAACGGTGTCTACGACAAGTTTTGTAATCCTGTAAAAACTGTACGGTCACACAGCGGGTAGTTATAGCACATGACAGTCTTCCTACGTTCGTTGTTACCAGCAGAGAGAGAGGTTGCTCTATCTCACCACTCCTGGTCAATTTTGGTCTCGTGGATGTTCTTCATCGCGCAGTTGTGTGGACCCTGAGCTGCGGCGTTGAGCTCTTCAAGGCAGAATCGTGAACCTAAATTATGCTGATAACATCACTTTGCCTACGGTCGATGCACAAGCCGCTCAGAACCTTCGAACCGCTTAGATATGGAAGCATCTACATATCTGTATTTTGCTCTACCCAAGTAGTAGCTTTGCTTCAAGATTAGGAAGCTCCTAAGCCTATGCTCACCATTGCGAGTGACAGCCTGGAGCAAGTGAATAGCTTATCTCTGGAGTTGCGACACAGCTGGTGGCGACCTTGCCAATTGTGTTTTTGCATCCATTACTCTGAGATAATAGCGGCATCGTCGCGACGTCAGTCTAAAGCTCAAGGTTGGAGCGTACTATACCCTGTGGTCTTGCTGTACGACTATGGAACCTGGCTTGGTCGTGCGTAAGATTCTACATGGCGGTCAGCCTTTGGTAACCCATGTTTGCGGACGATTGTTCGTGTATGGTGGCAGCATTATCTAAGTCATACGAAAGTACTCCGAGGGAGCGGCCCCCGCCTCCAGGGTATTATTCTCCACCGCCGTTTGCGTTCGTTGTATCATGTACTGCGTTTGCCAGCCCATCACCTTCCTCGTCGCATATACTTTGCAATGAAGCTGGACCTTATCGTGGTCCAATGGTTTGCGTGCCTCAGCGATCCATTAAGCTATGTTGGATGTTGCTTTTTGCATATTCAGAGCCGCTCATACCAGAGTGGTCTTTGATTAAAGGCCAGACAAACTAAGCTACCTCGTCCTCCAGGCTGGGGCTTAGAGTGAGGGTTGCTCCTTATTCCTTAAAACGGACTCCTTGTAGCCCACTATCAAACCCGCTGCCTCGCGGCCAGGTTTTTGAACCAAAGGCTTTGGTTGAGAACCCTTGTCGTTCTCCTGTCTAGGCCTGGGCAACCTGACAGTATCTTGCCCACGCAATACAATGAATCTTTCCTCAAACAATTTCTTAATGCTTTGGCCACCGCAGAGAATGGTAAACGGTGCTTTATCTGCTGCATAGAACAGTTTGGATAAGATACTACTGCTCAAGCCTTCCTTCTCACTTTTTCACCCTTATCGTCCCTTTCCAACTTCAATTTTCTTCCCCTTATTTTCAACCCCAATTCTCGGCCCTCCCTATCTTGCTTCAATAGGTATTTGTCTTCTAGTTTCGACTCACAGTCGCAGGGCGTCCCTCTGGTCCAATTAACAAGTTCAGGTTCAACCCAGCGGATAACGTCAGTCCATCTGTTTCTATTAAGTACCATCGATCTTCTCTAAGACTGGCGTGCTTTAATGTCCGCGCTTTGTTGCAGATTGACCAACAGGCAGCACTTGCCCGAACATTAGTGACCCCCAATCCATATCTGCTGCCTATCGGAAATTCACCTGCACTACTCGGGCTCTGTGCTCATTTTGCGATCCCCTTCAGCTGACACCTACAGTACTTTCTCATTGCGTCTATCCGGAGACGATGCAGCTACGAGTACCTGCCAAGCTGGCGTTGGTATTGCCCGGCGTTCCCGGGTGTTGTTGTTTCACTTCCTTTCTGTTTTCTCCGTTGCTTTCCCATGCTTCTGACAGCAGTTGTGCATGGGGATGTAAACCAGGGTAGGCCAGGGTCACCCGAGGAGATGCGAAAGTGTATCGCATGCTTCATGGTGCTTTATTTGGGCTATTGTACGTAGATGGTCATACCCAAACTAGATGATCGAGTGACGGTTTTTGTGTGTTATGTGATGACATCCTTTGTGCTGCATTATTTCTTTGTATACCTATTTCAATACTCGTATGGGCAGGTTCGGTGTTGTGATGTCACAGTCCATAGACAGCCCGAACAACAGCCATTCTGTTTTACTCGACAACTTAGTGAGAAGACGGTGGTTTTACTATCAAACGGCGTTCATTCGGTATACGCGCTTGGGATT